ACAGGTGTGGCAAAAGAGATAAAGAACGGAATGCTGGGAGAAAGTCGTCCTTCTCCATAAAATCCTTTGAGGGAGGCTTGGTGACAGACCACCAGAGGAGCTGGAAAACTCCATCCTATCTTACGTGTAGGTAAGTCCTCTGGAAACCAGAAGCTCTGTTGCTGGAGCTTCTTCAGTATTATGCAGGCTATTAGGACAGTGATGAGTAAGCCAAGAGAAACTAGGGGAAATTCACATAAAGTAGGGGAAATCTTTGTATTTCTTTGGAAGAATGTTCTCAGTCAAATAGAATCATGATGGTCTTTCACGGTCTGTGTTGTTTTCATGCTTTTCCTGGGCAACATCCGTGAGAGGAATAGTGTAACTGTGGAGGAAGCCATATTTATTGAGGCTTACTTGAAGGCTGTGTGACCACAGAGTCAACACATACCTTTGCTGGGCCTCCCCTCCTCTGTGCCGTGGGTATTATATAACACCATGAAAGTGGGAATATGTGTGTCTCGAGCACAGCTACACTGGCGGTTTGGCTTACTGACTTTTGTGATTTGTAAAAATACTTGTAAGCTGTAAAAGATAACTACTTGTATAAAGTATAATGAACCCGTCGAGGAAGAGCCTTGTTTTGGCTTCTGACTTTTCGCAGGTTTCATCATGGTCGCTTCTGTGTCAGAGACTGTTGGGCTTAGAAAACGTAGCAGATGCGGATGGTTTAGTTTAGTTTTGTGAGGCTTGGGAGTCAAAAGTTGCGGTCAGCTTGGGGGTGGTGGTGGGCAGCTTTCAGAGTTTGGGCTTGGGCATTGGGAAGCCATTGAATAGTTTTAAGGTGGGGGAGACACTTGATTAGATTCTTTAGAGGAAGGGAGACAGACTGGAAAAGATTTTTAAAAAAAGTTACTGGGATATAGAGTCTCCCACCCTTCATCCACTGCCTGTGCCTGAGGTAGCCAGGGAGCAGCACCAGCTTGTTGGGCTGGCCTCCTTTTCATGCCCCCACCTCCCGGGGCACTTTCCTGCTGCCAGATGGTCCTACATTAGTCCTGCGTCCATTTGTTCTTACAGATGCACTGCTCTGGACGTGTCTAAGTGAAGTCCCCTCTTGGGGCCCTGGATCTCATCCCTCCGTTACTCCACACATTTTCCCTCCCCTGAGTCAGTTTTTCTTCCTCCTCTGGATCATCTCCAGATCATACAAATGGGCTGCTATTTTTTATCATTTTCAAAATCTTTCTCTTGACCCTGTTCCCCAACTCCCTCTTCCATTCCTTTTTCCCTGTAAAACTCCCTGAAAGAGTTCCCTGTCTCCAGGGCTCTCTCGATTTTCCCTTTCTTTGTGAATGTCTTCCTCTGAGGGGTAACGTCCATTGGGAAAGTAAACAGTCGCTCAGTGGCTCTTCACCACACCTGCTTTTGCTAAGGTCATGAGTGATTCCCAGGTGGCTCCATCCTTTGGACAAATCTCATCCTTTGCCTTAGCAACGGTTGCTGCGTGAACATTGCCTCTTCATTGGATGCAATTTTTCACTTGACTTCCGGGATCCCATTTATCTTTTGCTTTTCCTCCTACCTCCTTGCTTTGCTTCTGTGTGCGTGCTGGTGCCTCTCCTGCTCCAACTTTCTCGGGAAGGCACCCACCCCCTCCCCCTGCCATGCCTAATCCTTAGCCACAAGCCTTCCTTTGAGCATCTCGTCCAGGTTCATGACTTTAAAATACCATTTTCTGTACCAGTGACTCTCAGATATGTATCTTTGTCCTAGACCGATCTCCTGAACTCCAACAGCCTCCCCCTAAACTCAACACTTTGAAAATCCAGGCTGGTCCTTCCCAAGCCTGTGTCACATGCAGCTTTCCCTGGGTCAGTTGGTGGCACTTCCAGTTGGTCCATTGGCTCAGGCCCAAATCCTTTGGAGTCATGTTTAAGTGCCTACACCTCATATCCTGTAGGAAATCCTGTTTGCTCTGCTTTGTAAACATCTAGAGCCTCAACGATCCACTCTTCATCCCTTCCTCTCTCCTGACATGCTTCAAAAGTCTCCTGACAGGTCTTCGTGCTTCTCAACGCAGCAGCTCCAGAGCCCCTCTCAAAGGTAAGCCTGATGCCATCACTTCGGTGCACCCACTGGCCGCTCCTCAGGTAGAGGAAGCAGCTGGAAATTCATGTTTGCTGCCCGAGCCTTGTCACCTGTTGGACCTTACCCCTTAACTCGGTATGGAGCCTTCCAGGGGTCACAAGGTTGGCACTAAAGAGTAGTGATCATGGAGGTTGTTTGGTTCAAATTAAAACAGAACAAAACTGTGCTGTGGGAGGGCCTTTAGGACACAATAGAGATTGTCATGGGAGAGGGACTTGCCAGAAAATTCAGTCCTACAAAATTGTACAGTCAGTGGACCACTCAGAACCTTGGTTCTGGTCCCCATTGTGGCTCTTGTTCATGACTTCTTCCACTTAAAACACCCTCTGCCCTTCCCCCATTTTCTGATGATGAACCTTACATGTCACTTTTTTAAGGGATTTTTCTTCCACTCCTTCCTGTCTCCCCTGCCCCCACACCCCACTCACTGAATGATCACCCCTCCTCCATGCCTTCATGCTTCCATTAGTATATTTAATCAGTACTAACTGGATCCCTTACAGTGTTTCAGGAATACAGCAGGAATACCATTTTGGAGGAGATTATGGTCTAGAATTGAGTATTTTCTAAGACCAGAGCCATGCATGGCTGTTTAAATTAATTAAAATTAAATACATTAAACATTTAAAAAAAAAACTTCTCAGTTGTACTAGTTACATTTCCAGTGCTCAGTAGTTAGATGTGGCTAGCAGCTACTATGTTGCACAACACCCATGTTCTGGAATAACCCCATCTTCGTGAAAGGTTCTAACAGTACAAGAGAAAGGGGGGATGGACAACAGACACACACACACACACACACACACACACACACACAATTAAGGGAAACAAGGTAATAAATGCTGCATAGGTAAAGGAGAGAATGTAGTAGAGTGACTGGTTGGCTCCTTTAGACAGAGGGACGGAGGGATGTCTCAGAAGGCGACATTTAAGAAGAGGTTGAGAAGAAAAGGAGAAATCTGAAACTGATGGGGTAAGTAATGGAGATCAAGGCAGAGGCACCACTAGGGGAAAAGTCCTAATGTGGGGACACATTTGAAAGAATCCCAAATGGTGGGAGCCCTGTGGCAGGGGAGAGAGACACAGAAGAAATCCAAATCACTGTGGGGGACTTTGTACATCTGGGTAGAAAGTGAGTGCTTTTGTTTTTAAATTTTCTGAGACAGCTATGGGAGTGTTGTAAGGGGAAGAGTGTCATAATCTGATTGTATATTTACCATTTACATCATTCTGCCCAGTTTTATTAGTTGCTTACTTACCTGTCTCTCTACCCGATTGCACAATCCTGGGTTTTTTCATTCTTGGTTTATTGAGTCATGTCCCATTAGTCTCCATATATGGATAATAACTGGTAGGATCGAATTAAATTAGAAAAATCCTTATCACTGACCTGGTGGGCTTTGGCTGAGTCTCCGAGTATAACAAAACTAGTCAAGACATATTTTGCCTCCCAAATTAATTAATATAAAGTATGACCTAATTCTTTTTGAGGCATTTCAGAATTTGTCCCCTGACTTTTGGGGGTGGTCAAGGTAGGGGTCAATTTTATTCCTTCCAAGTATATAAAGGCAGAGAATAAGAACAAAGTGGGTGTCCAGAAATGAGTGTTTCCCCTGCGAGAACTCATCTTGTTACCTATTTGGATTCAGGTGTGGGGCATTGAAAAGCTAGGAGGGCTTTTACGGATCAGATAGTACAACCATTTTATGGAAGAGGTGAATTTCAGCAAATAGGCCAGTAGACAGCTTCTGTGATGTCCCAGTATCAGGAAGGAGCTTGTGTTCATGGATGTGGAACAGAGTCTAAAGCAAGGGCCTGCTCTAGCTAAGGCCTTCTACAGACACCAAATCCTGCCCCCACCCCTCCCATCCCCAGGGTTGGCGTGGCAGCAGGCTTGAAAGGGCACACTCTAAGGGTGCTGGGTGGTATGGGCCATGAATGGCCATCTCACTGTATCTCATGACAAAGCCGAAAAGCCGAATTCTCATACATGCTCTCTAGATTTTCAAATCTTGGCCATTCCTTAAGAAATGAATTTTGAAAACCATGGTACAAAGTACTTCTGTGGGCCAAATACAGTCTTCAGGCCCCCGGTTGGCTGATGGAGCTGACGGAGACCTGAAGCTGTTGTGCTTGGTCTCTCATCAGGCTTTAGGTCTTTGTCCAAGTGCGGAGACTGCTGGAGTCTGGGGGTCACATTTCCAGGTAGCATGGGACCCAGCGCCACATACCCAGCCCACCATCCACGTTTCCACGAAGCCCGTGTTGGGCTGCAGGCAGCCTAGAGATGGAGTATCAGTGCTTCCTTGGGAGGGAGTGACTGAATTTTTGGACCAGAAGGGCAGTTAATGAAGTACTAGGCAGGCTTACACATACTTCTATGGCTTAATAATTACGAGCAAAAGTCAGAAGACCTGGGCTGGAACCTCAGCTCACTTAACCTCCCCAAGACTCAGTTTCCTCCTCCATGAATGAAGTTGGTAGCAACACCTGCCTAAGGGGGTCTGTGAGCATTAAGTGCGTGTGGGTGCTTGGCATAGAGCCCACTACACAGTAAGTTCTCCAGAAACCTTGCTTAGCGTCAGTGCATATTTAAGTTTCATTTTCAAAGGTCTCCCACATCCCTTTTGCTCATTATAACCATCCTTTGAGCGAGACAGAGCAAGTATTTTTAGAGCTGTTTTTACAAATGAGGAAATCAAGGCTTGGAGGTGCTCAGTAACCCACAGGGATCCCCAACTTCGCAGGTGGCAGAGCTGGGATCAGAACCCGAGTCTGGTCCAGAATGTGCTTCCTGAAAGCATTCTCTTGTCATCACTCAGTAAGATACAGTCTGAGTCATCGCTTCCTGTAACATGAATGCTTGGGCACAGTGACTCACAGTCTTCATGAATTCTTGCTACTGGCAAACTTGACAGTATGATGAAGACTGGGCACTGACCATCCTAGCTACAGAGCCCAGAGTTTCTGTCTTCGAAACTGCCTCTGGTTTCCTTCCTGCTTGCTCCCTTTATCCCCTGTGTCAGCATCAGGGGGCAGTTTGGACTCTGTTGGGGAAGGAGCTGAACCTGAGGGTCTGCTGTCCCTTGCAAGGTGAAGAAGGGTCAGCCATCCCAGAGCTGACGGAGACCTGAAGCTGTTGTGCTTGGTCTCTCATCGCTAACGGAGCAGGCTCATGTGACTGACCCAGTCAGGGTGAAAGGAGAAGTTGCAAACTCAGAATTAATACTTGTTCCAAGACCATCTGGGAAGGCACACACCTACCAGTCTGCTTTTTCTGTCTTTCAGGCCGTAACCATTATGCAACCTTGGGTAGCCATCTCAGGCCTCCTGCTACTTCTGACAGGTAAGCAAATAGGTGGGCTGGCGTCTGGGAAGCCCTGAGGATGGGAGAGTGTAGGAGATGTGCGAGTGTGGTGTAGGAGGATGGATGTGCTTGGGCTTTGGTGGGAGCTAGTGGGTCAGCTGGTAAGCAAAGAACCAGGCTAAATCTTACTCAAAAGAAATTGCTTAAATGCTATGAATTGCAAAATCCATGGGTGAGTGAACCAGGTATGATGAACTGTGTGTCATATCTTGCCATTTGCGTTTGAACAAACAAACAGAAAGGGGGTTAGATAGTTCTAGGAGCATGGACTACTCAAGTGTATGTAAAAATATAGTAACAGTGTTAGCATGAGTGGGAGGGGATGGGGAGAGGAGACTGGGCTAAGATGGAAAGGATACCAGTCCTTCATCAAACTATCTTGTGTCCTTTGGAATTTTTTTTTTTAAATCATGTGCAACTATTTCTTTTCAATATATTTTATCTCACAAAGTTAGGAATAGACATAATCTGAAATTTAAAAAACAATAATCTCCAGAAGTCCAATTATGGGGGAAAGTTCATTTCTTATTACATTGTATAACTTGATTTTTATGATTAACATATTTTATTTGTAATCCAAAAGTGATATTAGGCAAAATAAAATATTGTAAGAATTCAGTGAAAAAGTCACTTTCTTATTTTATGTAACCATGAGCATTCTTATTTCTAGAGCATTTCCCAAAGGCATAGCCCAATTCTAAATATAACTGGTTGGTGAATTTCCGATTTCTTTTAAGGGCTACCTTGACTGCATTTGGCATTGTGGGGTTTTTATACCACTGTTCCAGGAGAGACTTCTTGTTTTTAAGTGGCATAATTTAGTATATGATTATTTTCCAGTTATCTGTTTTCATGGGATAAGTGGGCCTCACTCAGTGTGGGGCTAGCATCAACTTACGAGATGGGGTCCCTGTTGGATTTTTTTAGACTGATTATAAAGCCCATTATAAACCGCAGCTCCTTCTAGAAGTATTAGAAACCCATTTTCTTAAAAAAAAAAAAGATTTTATTTATTTATTTTAGAGAGAGCTAGAGAGTGTGAGCAGGGGCAGGGGCAGAGGGAGAGGGAGAGAGAATCTCAAGCTGACTCTGCACCGAGCGCAGAGCCTGATGCAGGGCTTGATTTCATGACCCTGAGATGAAGACTAGAGCTGAACCCAAGAGTCAGACACATAACCTACTACGCCACCCAGGTGCCCCTAAAAACCCATTTTCTAAAAGTTGATTTCTGAAGAGTTTACTAGACTTCTGCCTTTAAGCCAATAATACTTTTTTAAATCAGTTTTTTATGTTAATTCCAGTATAGTTAACATAGTGTGGTACTTGTTTCAGGTGTACATAAGTGGCTCAGCAGTTCCGTACATTACTCAGGGCTCATCCTAATAAGCAGGCTCTTGGTCCCCACCACCTGTGTTATCCATCTCTCCATTCACCTTCCCTCTGTTGCCGTCAGCTTGTTTTCTGTAATTCAGAGTCTGTTTCTTGGTTAATCTCTCTTGCTCTCTGTCTCTCTCTCTTTCCTTTGTTCATTTATTTTGTTTCTTCAATTCCATATATGAGTAACAGCATATGGTATTTGTCTTCCTTTAACTGCCTTTGCTTAGCTGCATCCATGTTGTTGCAGATGAAAGCCAGTGCTGCTTTAAACAAAACATGAGCTCTGCTTTTCTTACAAGAGAGGTGTTGTGCGATGACTTCACTTGCAATAGCAGTTTAAAAAGTTGGGGTAAAAATTAAAACTTAAAATGCAATAGAATTTTTCAAACATATTTCAATTGAGGCAGTGATTGAATCTGGGGGAGGAGGAAAGCCACAAGTCTTACCTACTGAATAAGCATATATACCTGTCAGACACAGAATGAAATACAGAGTCATGTATTATTGGAGTGTCATTTGGTTCAAACCTTTTAGAAAGAAATTTGGCCATGTTCATCAAGAGGCTGAAAATATCGGTGACTTTTGTCCTGGTAACTTTTCTCTTAGACATCTGTGCTGTTAGAAAACAATCCTAAATATAGGAAAAAAGTTTAAATTATATTTTATCTACAAATATCAAATAAATAATGCTTTTAAAGAATATGTTAATGTAAAAATGCTTACAACAAATTTTTAAATTGAAGATGCAAAGTTCTATGATTACAAATGAAATAAACTATGTAAAAAGAAAAAATGAAAATACATGTAAAATTAAAAGATTGAGTCCTCATGCTCTGTTTTCTCTTTATTTATAGATGCTGTAGTTTCTTACACTCAAGTGATTGGAGTGGTGGGTCATTCCATCACGCTGCCCTGCACCTACTCAACAGCTCCTGGAGTCACAACCATGTGCTGGGGCCGAGGGGCATGTCCCATGTCCCATTGCTCAGATGACGTGGTCTGGACTAATGGATCCCATGTCACCATTCGGAAGCACCCACGTTATAAGCTGAAGGGAAACATTTTAAGAGGGAACGTGTCTTTGACCATAGAGAATGTGGCCCAGACTGACCGTGGTCTCTACTGTTGCCGTGTTGAGCACAAGGGGTGGTTCAATGATATGAAACTCACCCTGTCACTGGAGATAAAGCCAGGTGAGCTTGTCTTCTGTCTTCCTTTGATCACTTCATGTGGGTGAACTGAGATGTTTCCTGTTTGGTAGTGACTTTCTCTTCCTTTAATAGGGAAAGGGGAGGTTCCTCGAGTCTTGTTTTTCAGTAACTGTTGGAAAGTAGAATAACTTCTATTGGTATAAAATGAAGTATTCAGAACCAATCTTGAGCAAGACCATAGGGGAGAGGATCTTCCCAGTCAGCAAACTATCTCCTAAAGCAGGTTTTCAAAAATGCTAGTTGGTTCAGGGGCGCCTCAATGGCTTAGTCAGTTAACTGTCTGCTTTAGGCTCAGGCCATGATCTCAGGTTCCTGGAATTGAGCCCTGCATTGGGCACCCTGCTCAGCAGGGAGCCTGCTTCTCCCTGTCTTTCCCACTTGTGCTATCTCTGTCTCTCTGTCTTAAATAAATTTTTAAAAATGCTAGTAGGTTCATGAAAAAGCATTTAATGTTCCTTTGTGAAATAGAGTGAACATTCTTACCAAGCTGAATTTGCTTAACTTAAAGAACTGCCCTTTATTCTCTGAGATTATGTTTTAGAAGAATTTTCAAATGTTATGAACATTTTAAAACTGTTTTGGAGAATTTCAAACATATAGAATAGGTAATATAATACAAGGTCTTGTCAAGTAGGGATAGCACCCAGGTATAACAATCGTCAGCTCAGTCTAGTTGCATATACGTCGTAAAGGGATATATAGTTCCATCCTTCCCCCTGCCCTGCCTGGGATTTTTTGAGGCACATTTCATATCATATCACAAAGTTGCTTGTTTAAAAATTAAAGTGACTATACTGCAATATGAAAACATTTACATCCCAATGACTACTCACCAGTTGTTTTTAAGAATTTGATGAAATCCAAAAATCCGTCTTGATGTGAAAATCCTCATTTTCTTTACCATTGGGTAAACAGAGTGGATTCCTTGGGATTTCCCAGTTTCTGGTGTTCCTTCCTAATGAATTTCCCACCACTAAGCTCTGATACTGACAATGGAACCCAATACCTGTGGCCTTAATAAACTATGTGTCTTCCTTCCTTCCTTCCTTCCTCCCTTTCTTTCTTTCTTTCTTTCTTTCTTTTCTTAAGAGGAACTTGCTTTTGCAATCTCCCGGCTTTTGGACTTGGTTTGTTTCTTTTGTGAAGACTAGCGACATAAGGTCAGTTCTGATGGAGAAACTAGCTGACCGAGGGGGAAACCATCTGGGGGAAGCAATTTAGGGAAGCCAAAAGAGGCTGGTGATAATCCTGTGCTCTAGACAGAGGCCAGGAAGCAGCCCGTGGAGAAGAGATTGTGATTACAACTTTCTTGGATTTGTAAAACTTATTATTGGTATGGCTGAATGTTAGAAATTGACCTAGTAGAGAAATGAGTAGGATACTTTTAAAGTGCTTCGGAATTCTGTAGTAGGAGGGCACTTATAAGGTCGGTGCTCTGTCAAGTGGGAAGAGGGTCTGTAACTGAGCCAAGGAGACTCTGCCTCCAGTAACCAATTCTTTGCTTAACTTTGCTTGTGGTTTTCACTGGCTAAGCTTACTCTTCAAACTTCTGTTCAGGCTTTTTTATACCAGCATCTGCGTACGGTTTGCTCCCTTCAGCCTGGGGAAAATCGTTGCCAACTGAAGAAAACAAGCTCGTTAGACAGTTTGATTAGGTTACCCCTCTTTATTGCTTCCCTTACTCTCCTTTGATCAGATGTTTTGCATGTGTGCTTTTCCCCCTGTAGATTAGATTTTAAACTGGAAGGAGGGGATTGGATTGTACTCTTTTCCTGAGTCGCCAACTACAACTTAGATCAGGGTCAGCAAACCCTAGCCCTGGGATCAGGGCTGTAGATCAGATTACAGAATAGTCCCACTGTTTTATACATTTTTATTTGAGCAGCCATGCGTATATATTGTCTTTGGTGGCTTCCCTTTAACGGGGAGTGGAGCAAGTGCCCCCGAGACCTAAAGCATTAACTGTCTCGACCTTTCCAGAAACTTTGCTGACGTCTGCTTTGGACTAATGCTTTGTCTATGATAGACACTCACAGATATTTGTTGAAAAAAGTGTTTTCCTCTTCAGATTCTAAATTAAATTGCATCTTTCAGAAAGAAAAGTTCGCAAACCAAGTGAACCCTACTTAAGAGACATGGTTTTCTTTTGTAGTTAGGTCAAAATGTAAGGAAACTTCTTGCAGAGAAAAGGGTGCCCAGTGAGAGCAAAAGTATACATTCTTGATTCAGTCCTTCATTGGTTTGCTTTGGTACCAGGCCCTGTGTGGGGGCTAACTTCTGGTTTTTGCTCCATCTGGGTAGCTCTGATACCCCCACTAAGTGATTTAGAATCCTATACCACCGCAGAATCTGGAAAGTCAAGGACGGTATGGTATTAGCTGTTGTTATATCTTAGGTTGGAAGGAACCGTAAAAGGTCTAGTTTACCTTCTAACCAAATGTAACTCATCTGTGTGATTCATCTAGCATATGCTAATGGTGAGTTAGTCCTCATTTAGGACGCAGGTCCCTCTGTCCATATGTCACCCTCAGGCCTGACTGGACTGAATGCTATTTATTTGGTAAGCATTCTAGGCATGGGAACTCCTACTGAAGTCTTAGTCTTTCACCATGGAGAGGATAAAGGCTGCTCCAGGCTCTGGACATTTTCCTTACCTCACAGATGTTTATGAAGATACATAAATCTGATATGCATGACTGGTCTTCTCAAAGTGCTTCAGTGTAAATCCCAGGTGACATTTTTCACCTCTGAACCTCCCCAAATATATACATTTTAGTGCAGCTGTTTCCTTTTTGCAAGTATGTTTTCAAAGCCCTCCTCTGTCACAGATTCTAGTTAACCGATGACAAGAACTCTCAGTTCAGGGAAGATTAGTGCCTAATTTCTGCCCCGGGACAGCCTCTCATTGGTTGTGTTAGTCACGGGCCCAGCACAAGGCTCTTGTTTCTTGCTGCTTGATTAATCCTTGCTTTCATGTTGGTTTCTAACTCCAGCTGAGGTCACCAGTGTTCCAACGTTGCCTAGGGTCTTTACCTCTACTTCTTCAACTCCAGCACCCACGCAGAACCTCAAGCCAGGTAAACCAATGTGTTTCTTGAGCCCCGAGGTCTTCTAATGAGAGGATGTAGACTGTCCAAGGCATTGTGTTAAGGCAGAAGTACAGTCTAGGCTAAGGGTTCTTACCTGGTTTCCAAGCAGGGCTTCACAGGGTCTGTGAACCCCTGTCCCAAACTGTTGGGTCCTCCAAAAATTGGGTACCCCAATAATGGGTCTGTGATTAAAGGAACGAGACTGATACAAAGCGAAGGTCAAGCAAAGCTTTATTTCGCGCCAAGCATCAAGAATCAGACCAACCGTCAAACAGACTGGTGGGGGCTGCCCCTACAGAGAGGAAGAACCCCTCCCTGCTTTCCAGACTAACTCTTATAGAGCAAAGGCCATGTGGTTGGGCCTGGCCACACACAGGTGGCCAATGAGATTGTAACACACACAGGAAACTCCACAGTGATGCTAGGCTACCAATTGAATTACAGTTTACCCTAGTAGACATTTGAACCAGCCTATCACCTAGTTCAGAATTGGCGCCCAAAAGGTGCCCAAAGGGCAGGGCCCATACTCCTTGGTAGCTAGGAGACAGTCTGCACCCCCACTGATTGAATACCTCCACCTGGCCTGACCCACCCTTGTGCTTGGACTTTGTTACCTGGGACTGGTTTCCCGGACTTGCTTTTAAATAAGTTCCCCTGGCAGGGGGCAAGGTCAATTTAAGTTTTACGACAAAATGGCAGTTCAACCAGGGTGGGGCCGCTCTGGCTGAAGAGGCCCTTACATACAAAACCATATACACCTTTTTATAGATAATCATTTTTAGAGCAAGGGAACTCATAGCTTTTGGCCAGATTCTCCAGGGCATTGATTATTAGCAACACCCCCCAAAAAGCCTCACCACTGATCTTAGACATCTAATGAGGGTGGAGTGGGTTTGGCCCAGTTGAGCACAGGTTTTTGAGGAAAAAAATAGGAATGCCAGAGAACAAGGGTCCAGGTAATGAGATTCGGTTCTTACAAGGAGCTCTGAGTAGAGATCAGTTAGTCCATTCTGAAGCCAGACCTCCACGTGAGGGTGAAATTTCAGTGAAGTTAACATTTTCTTTGTTTCCTTTGTGACAGAACCATGCTAAGTACTTTTTGAGTATTCTATTTCTTAATTCTTATGATGACCCTGATGCACTATACGTGTGATTCAGTCCCATCTTATAGTTGTGAGAACTAAGGCACAGAGTCTGAGTTCATTGTGGAAAATTACATGGATAGAAACTACTTGAATCTCCATTAATTTGAATTTTGGGATTGTGCTTTTAACGATTGGATTGTGCCTTCTACCATGAGCACTGAGCTTATGTTTGGATGAATTTGTCCTGATCTGACATCCTCACTGAACAATCCTTTATACTATTACCCTGTCTTCTCTGGGCAGTCAGTCTGCTTACACAGTTTTGCTTCCATCATCCTTTAATTTATTTGTGCAGCATGGAAATAACAAAAGATACTATTTATACTGATGAAAAAGTAAACATCAGATTTTAAAGACTTCAGGGACTTAGAACTTACACATCTTTTTTTTTTTTCATTCAGACCACATGGTTCATATTTTAAACTTCTGATAAATAAGGCCTTAGATTTAATACAGATGGAGAATAATTTGACTTAAAGGTAGAAAAGTAGCTTGCCATTCTGAGGACAAGTTTAGGTGCAAACTTTCTAGCTCTAGGATTAAAAAGATAACTTTTAGTGGAGATTTGTAAAGCCTCTTTGACCCCTTGGAGTGGGGCTGGATTCTGTGGAGGACCAGAGATGTCACAACCTCTTAGCCAGAAAAATCTGGTGGAACATACTGATTTCCCTGGACCCCTATTGAACCACATGTATATTTAATCAGGAGGGATCTGAAGGATTGGGCCTTGAGCTGAGTTTGGAAGAGGGGGCTTTAGGTTAAAACTGGGATTTGGGAGCCATAAAAGTTTGTAAGAAAAACAGTTTTGTTCATTCAAGGCAGCTGAACACACTTGACTTTCTCAGTATCGATTTAGCTTTGTAATACTTAGTTTGTGCCTGCAAATGGGGGTGGATTAGTGGCCTTGGTTTGGTGAACATGCATGTTTAAAGCAAAGATTCAGAAGAAAAGTGTTGGCCAATATGTCCATGTGACCTTCTCAGGGATAGTACTGATTAAGACTTATCCTTGTCTTGATGGTTTTCTCCCGAGTTTGAGTTGAGTTGAACAGAAAGGAGGTGTGTGCTGGAGCAGATCCAGTGTGGGACGTTTATCTTTACATCCATGCTCTTCCTGTGCTCAGTGTCTCTTCTGTATCCTAGTTGCCTAAAGTATTCATGGCATGGTTGGGTGGAACGTTTTAGACAGGGAGAAAAGATGCCTGCTAATACACAAACTTGGGGAAAAAAGTTAAGCCCAAGAGGTCTTCACACCCATGCAAGTTGAGTAAGGATTCTGATCACCTGACTTCACTGTCGTCCTGTTCTTAGTTCTTTTTTTTTTTTTTAAAAGATTTTATTTATTTATTTGACAGAGATCACAAGTAGGCAGAGAGGCAGGCAGAGAAAGAGGAGGAAGGGAGGAAGCAGGCTTCCCGCTGAGCAGAAAGCCCAATGCGGGGCTCGATCCCAGGACTCTGGGATCATGACCTCAGCCGAAGGCAGAGGCTTAACCCACTGAGCTACCCCTGTTCTTAGTTCTTAAACAGAGTTACACCGTGTTATAGATTTGAGCATTAGAGAGAAGCAGGAAAATAGCTCAGAACACAGGAAAGGGTGATGTTGAAATGTGGAGACCACTGTGGGGAAGGGAAAACAGAAAGACCAATGAAAGGGAAGAAAAGCCCAGGTTTGGGAGTTCTTATCCTGCCAGCACCACTAACATGGTCTAAAATTTCTGGTGCTCTGTGAGGAAAGTATATAAAATGTAATATTTAAAATGTTAAGAAAATACACAGAGAGGCAAGTGATCAGAGCTACACGTAAGGTGAGATATTAGAAAGGAATGATTTTAGAAAGGAAAGGGAAACCTGGCCCCATACTGAAAATTCTTACTGAAGCTTTTTGGTGCAAAACTGAAGATGAATCAGATAACAACGGGAAATCAGTCTTACAAAAGGAGTGACCAGAATGCCAGTGCTGAAGGAGCCAGGTCAAGGTCCACTGAGAACAGGGCTTTGAGAGTTGTTAATTATCACCAAAGTTCAGACATTGGACAGTGTTGTCACCTGGAAAGAGACCTCAAGGAATTAAGTAATGTCCGTATGTGTTCTGTGCTGATCCATATGTGTACCTTCCTGGAAAGATGTGTGGATGGATAATGTGGACCTTGAATAAAGCCAGGAAATCTGGATAGGGCTATCTGGGAGGAGGACAGGCAAGTTAGCCCAAACTCCCATGCCCTATTCCTGTGAAAGTGAAGTATTACTTGTAGGAATAAAAGCTTAATTGGATGTCCTATGTATGGTGTGCTGTTGTAGGCTTTGGACATTTAGAGAGATCCTAGGAGTAGAAAAATTGTTAAATAACTCTAGATACGGATAAACTTTCCAGATCATTATCTAGATCAGATTTCATGATAATGGTACACCTAGATGGCTGTTTAGTGGCTCAAGGCCATCTTTGAATACCTTTCTAAGAGGAAGTTGGAAAGAATGGAAGTGGGTGTGTAGGAGGCATGCCTTCGGGGGCTGGCTGGCTGTGGGCGCTGCTGGGAAGTGGATGGTGATTCCTGATTTTAGTTTTGTTTTTTTATTTTTGTTGAGGGCAGGAGTGTTCCTCTGCAAGGAGAGCACAGTTCTTTCATTCTTTTCATTCCAGAAACTACTTCATCCTCTGCCCTGCAGACAGCAGGAACCCAGCCTACTGGGCCATGGGAAAGGAGCACAAGACAGCCCACCAATTCACCATTGTACTCCTGCTCCACCGGTAACTCCTTTTTCTTTCCTGGATCCTCGGAAGTACTCACATTTTGATAATTGCTGAGACATTGTAAAAGACCGCATTCCGATTAAGGCACATCAGATGTGAGTGCTGATACTGGCCACTGCAGTCAGCCATGTGACTTGAGCAAATGTCTTACTCGTTTAGAATCAGTTTTTATCATTTGTGAAATGGATGGAATAGCAACGATCTTGTAGGATGCTTTTGAGGATTAAATGAGATGAAAACACTAATACCTCGTTAAAAGGTGGTAATAGATACAATAGCAACTGCGACTCTTTCTTCAAAGTCTAGAATCCATACACCTGACTGGCCCAGGGAGCTTGTATGATTTGGGCACACCCACATGCATAGCACTATTTTTCTTAATCAGATGAACTGCTCTTTACTCCAGACTTATTAGTGGGCTTGCTGTCTTGGGCCAGAGCCATACATCAACTAAATCCAGCTCTCCAGTATCCAAACCAAACTGGTCAAACATATTTATGCTTCATCGAAGACCCAGACCCTAAGTACATCTAGGAGGCTCCCCTGCTACCCTGTGAGGCTTGCATGTGGACACTTTGAGATGGGCTGAGGACATCAGCACTAGCCCCAAGACACATGTCCCCTGGGACTGTCTATTGTCTTCTCCGATTTTGGTCCCACTGTTCCCATTCTGGGCAGGTCTCATATAATCTTTGTTTATTTGAAACCCAAGATTCGCCTGTCTTTCCTGTGGTAGAGAAAGGTGATGCTGAATGGTCTCATTTGCCCCAGATAATTCCATTACCCAGAGAGGTTATTTTGGGGAGTGCCACAGGCTGAACCCCTTTGTAATGCAGAGCTGGTTTACCTCTGCTTGTGTTTGTGCTGAATCCAAACAGGTTCAACCTTGGAAGACTCCTCTGTAATGTCTGTGACTCATTGTGCCCAGGAGTTGCCAGTTAGTAGGGCCCTCCCCCTTCCCGCCATGGCTTACCTTTTGCCAGTCATTCCTGGAAGCTGGTTAATTTAAAAAGGACCTGCAGTGAGATTCACAGAGGGGCCTGTTCAGCTGGGATTAGATAATGGTGACATTTGGTTTTGAAAGTGGAATCCTTAGTGTGAACTGCTTCTGGGCAGGAAAACAAAGTGGAAATAAAGAGAAACACAAGGTAGCAGCAGGGGGAAGCAGCCGCACCACATGTGCGAGTGGGAAGCACATCGGAGTCGGGAATCATAGGACTAAAACCCGGTCAAGGTAGAGCTTTCCACGGTGGAACAGACATGGGAGCAGCTGCATCCCCTGTGACTTAGCAATCGATGCCACCTTGGCAGCGTGCCTGAGGGTCTCGAGCCAAATCCTCACCATGCCTGCATCAGCCTTCAGCAAACTGAAGACTCAAAGGAGTGAAGAATGTTCATTCAGGCTGGAAGGGATTTTGGTGCTCATATGGCCGCCACCCACACTGGATAGAGGGATATGCTGGGAAGCTGTCATACGTTCTCTCACTTAATTCTTTGAAGGCAGGTCTCGTTGATTGCTGTTGCTAGATTAGGGAAGCCCAATAGTTCTGCTTTAGAGACAGGCAGCTCCCAATTCCATGACCTGCCACTGACTGCATGCCCACGGGCATGATGGTGGCATTTGCCCCTAGATGTTAAAGATGATAGAAGGACGTGGTATTTGGGAGGTACATTGCACAGCGTCTCCCTCTCTCCCTGCTGCTTCTTCCAGGGTAACATAATAATTAATAACAGCTAATATTTACCTAATAATAGTGTTCAGTCCTTAATGTACATCATCCAATTCGACAACTTCATGAGAGGGGTACTGTTACAGCTTATAGTTCTAGCTGTATTTACAAAATCGATATTTCAAAACTCTAGTAGTAAAACTTGAACAGTCAAAGCTTTAAGGCATAATATCCTTTTATATTAGGACTTTTGGCAGTATAAGATATGTTAGTTTCACAGCTGATGTAACAGATATTTTATAAAATATTTCTGGATCAAAGTCTGGGCACATCGGCATATAATGTAGGAGTTACATTACCACCTGCTTTAGATCTCTTAGTACATTTTACTCACATTCTGAATAAAACCATTATAATGTCCATTCGGAATAGAGTGGTCCTGATCTTTGGATGTGCATGTGGTCTTTGGACACTCATTGACAGGTTCTTAGCTGGCATGAAAATACCGATTATCTACCATTAATCGGCATTCTTAACTCACTTCCAAGGATGGGCCCCTGCAATTCCCCTAATTCTGTAGATAAAACTTTGTGTCTGTGTGCATTTTTTCCCCGTAAAGATGGAAAACAGTGTCCATTTTTTAAAAAAAGATTTTCTTTATTTATTTGACAGACAGAGATCACAAGTAGGCAGAGAGGCAGACAGAGAGAGCGGAGGAAGCAGGCTCCCCGCTGAGCAGAAAGCCCAATGCGGGGCTCGATCCCAGGACCCTGGAACCATGACCTGAGCCGAAGGCAGAGGCTTAGCCCACTGAGTCACCCAGGCGCCCCAACAGTGTCCATTTTTAAGGGTCCAAGACAAAATGGTTAAGAAACACAACCTTAGAGGATAAATTAATACAGCTTAGTAACTTGGTATGACTTCTGCAGTGTTTGCAGCATTTTGCCATATTATTATTCAACTTTTCATTCACTACTGGAAGGCAGTGTGAATATATTTAGTGTCTACAGTGAAAATTCAATATTTTTTGTAATTATAATTAATTTTCTTTCTTGTTGAGCAGATGGGAATGGCACTGTGACACAGTCTTCAGATGGCCTTTGGCATAGCAATCAAACTGTAAGCATTTTTCTTCCTGCTTTATTAGCTGAATTCACTTGTATGTCTCCTTGGAAGCAAGTTACATTTAGAGAATATTTCTGTAAGACTAGCCCACAGATTGATTCTTCTAGTTAAAATAAAAAAATAAGAAAATAATTAGACTCAGATAGGGATACTTTAATTAATTTGAAAAGTTCATACAGGTGGACTGGTTTGTTAGAGTTTGATAAATGATACTGTATTCTGTGTACACATACATATACATACATAACACATACTACAGGCTTTCTCCTGACCAGAAATTAGCAAGAAAGAATGAACAACTTTAAGGAGAATGAGTTAACATGATAGGCCAAGGAAGACTTTGGTTATCATTAGGGAAATAACACATTTTGACTCAATGGAGTGGAGGCTACCCAGAACAAAAACATTATGTTAGCGAACATGTAGTTGCTTAAGTAAATTCTCATATTCTTTTCTAACCCAATTGCCGTCCTTCATAGACATTTTTTCTATACATAAACCTCCCGGTATGATGACATATTAAGGTATTAACATCTTAAATAAATTTGTGACTTTAAAAAAAAGATTTTATTTATTAATTCAAGAGAGAGAGTGAGAGAGAGCATGAGCAAGGGGGAGGGCCAGAGGGAGATGCAGACTCCCCACTGAGCAGGGAGCCAAGCAGGACCCAATCAGGGATCCAGATGTGGAACTCAATGTCAGGACCCTGGGACCTGAAAGCATACGCTTAAGGACTGAGCCACTGAGGCATCCCAAGTAAATTTGTGACTTTGAAATATGTTCTTATACTTTTCCCACAGTGAGCTTGAGAAAAATCTAAGGGGTCCTCATCTCATGATGCTCATCAAAGTCTCATCTTTGCAAATAAGTTAGACAAGTTTGTCAGTAGAACTTTTTCTCTTGGTTTCTCTGGAAGAAATAAGTTTCTTTTTAGTATATGCAAATAACTCTCCAAAACAGCAAACAAAAAGAGTTTGGAGGTGTGAGAATAATCTTTCTGGTCTCAAGTAGTGAGAAATGACAACATAGCCATGATAAGAGAAATTCAAGCTCGGGCATGGTGGGGTTATTTAGCATGGAGTCAGATGGCTTTATGTCACATCCATCAGTGGTAATACTACATAGGAGTGATATAAAATTTTTTTAACAACTTATGTGGCATGGACACTGATGGATCTGATGGATATGGGTAGAATTTGTAGATACTTACTAAATGTTGGAACGACCACTATGTAAATGATTCTTCTATTGCTATATGGCTAGACTTAATGCTGGATTAAAAAAAACAAAAAACAAAAAACAAAACAGACAAAAATAACCTTCTGAGTGGTGAGATTGCTCTTGACCTCAGTTCCCTGTAGACAGGTGTGGTTAGGAGCGAGTAGTAGTGATTTAGAAGCAAGTTCACAGCAGGCAGCAGTGAAATCATGGGCCTTTTGTGTCTAGACTCTGAGGACATTGAGAGGTATTATTCCCCACATCCTGAAAACATGCAACATATATTTTGACCCAGAAGGTCAGCTTTCTGGACTCTATTTTAAGGAGAGAATTGAACAAGTACATGAAGATGTATGAGAAAAGCTGTTCTAATTGTTGCTGTTTATAATCACGAAAATGCTAGAAACAATGTACATGTTCAACAATAAGGGATTACTTACTTAGTCAGTTAAGCATGCCTGCACACTGCCGTTAAGAATGTAGTCACTGCAGTGTGTTTACTGACATGGGAAGACAGTACTGATTGTTAAGGGGAAAAAGCAACCGTTAAAATAGTGTGTATATGTGTGTGTGTGTGTGTGTGTGTGTGTGTAGTAGCATATATTGAATATAGTAATTGCTTCTGTTAAGAGAAGGATAGGAGGATAAAGTTCTAGAAGAATATATAATGAAAAATGGTAATAGTGTTTGTGTTGGAAGGTAGGTTTATAGTTGGTTTTAGTTTACCTTTTTTCATGCTTAGCTGCACATTCTAAAATGAACATTCAGTTTTTATGTCATATTTTAAAAAATGAAAGCAAAGCCTCCCTCCTGCAGCCCCATGTTACATCTAACCGCTTTACCCTCCCCACCCCCAACATTGGTCAAGTAACGACAACACCACTCTAACCTCCCAGACCCTGGCCATTTCCCCTTTAAGCCCAAACACTAAGTACTTTCCCTTATCCCCTACCTTCCTCAGAGTATTATCAAGGAGTACATGAAAGTACCTTTGTCAAGAACCCTGTTTCATCTGTAGTTGACAGACACAAACACAGAGGTTCAGAGAGCCTAAAGAACCTGTCCGAGGTCACACAACAACTAAGTCGAAGAGAGGGGATCCTGACTCTGATCTGATCTGATCCTGAGATTAAACTTTTATACAGGAAGAGACTTGATACTTCTCTCTGGTCTTCTTTTCTGTTGAATACTTACCCTCTGGGATGTCTTTAGGATTAGAGCTAAGCTATGTAAAAGGGCTGAGTGTGATGCTTGGCGTATTTCAGGCTTATTCCAGAACGTGGTGAGCCCTTAGGAACTGCACTAGGATGTTTAGACAAATTTCTGCATCTCCACCCAGCTAACAGCATCTCAGGTAGTTGTTAATGAGGGCCACGTCTCTGAGCACCTACTTTCAAGTCCAATTATTTAGACAAAGAATCTTGAATTACAGCTTAAAAAAAAAAAAGGACTCTAAGCAAAGACCAAATTCAGTAACTTAGCACATTCAGATACTATCACCAGGCCAGCTTACATATGAACAAAAATTGTGGGTTTTTTTTGTATCAGGATATATTTAATGGAAATAGCTTATTGATTTTTAAAAACATGTATAATTTACCTATAATAAAGTACAACCATTTGAGGCATACAGTTTAAGTTTTGACAAATGCACATACCTATGTAAATACCCCCCACTCAAGATATAAAACATTTCTACCATCCCCAAATACATTTTGAATTTTAAATGGTCTTTGAATTTCACCATATGATTACTGTCTCAGACAGCTTGGTCTTACCTTTCTTGAGCCAGAAATAGCCAAGGGCCAGCAAAGATAGATGGGTTCAAGCACATTATTTTTGGGAATGTTTTTTTTTTTTTTTTTTTTTTTTTTGGGAGAGGGAGGGTGAGAGCATGGGGTGGGGTGGGGCAGGAGGAGGTGAAGAGGCAGAGAGAAGGGGGAGAGAGAATCTTAAGCAGGCTTTATGCCCAGCTCCTTCTCATGACCCCGAGATCATGACCTGAGCCGAAATCAAGAGTCAGACACTTAACTGACTGAGCCACCCAGGTGCCCCTTAAGGAATGTCTTGTATCCATAACTCTAACAAGATGTGTTTTCGATGCATTGATGTTTCCTCAGCATGTGTCACTGGCACAGAATCCGTGGATGACCACCAGTAAGGGACTGTACATTGGCATTTGCGTTACTGCTGTGGTATTGTTCACCGTGCTGGTCGTCGTGATTACCAAAAGTAAGTCACTGCAGGTACCTGCGGGAACAGAGCAAGGGTTCTCAAGGCAAACAGCCATGTGGTTGAGATTTCACATACATTTCTGTTTTCTAATCTCTCTCTTACTCTCTCTCCCTCTCTTTTTTTTTTTTTTTAAATTACTGGCCTATAAAGAGAAAGATGCAATATAAATTCTCCAGAGATGGAATTAAATATTAAAGAAATGAGACTGTTTTGGGTAGACTTGGGATTTGGAAGGTAACACGCCATTATTATATATATGATTTGTTCAGATCTTTTATACTCACTCCCCTCAGAAACCAGTGTTTGTCCCCATGAAGGATGATATTGTTGAGTTTTACAAGACCCACTTAACAGGAGAGGCAGATGAAACATTGGACGAGAAACTGATTTCAGGGCTAGGGCTAGAAGGGCTTCAAAAGGTAGCCATCCACGGGCACCTGGGTGGCTCAGTGGGTTAAACCTCTGCCTTCAGCTCAGGTCATGGTCCCAGGGTCCTGGGATCGAGCCCCGCATCGGGGTTTCTGCTCAGCGGGGAGCCTGCTTCCTCCGCTCTCTCTCTCTGCCTGCCTCTCCAACTACTTGAGATCTCTGTCAAATAAAAAAAAAAAAAAGGTAGCCATCCAGCAGTTGTGTTTGGGGATGTGTCTGCTGTGTGTGTGTGTGTGTGTGTGTGTGTGTGTGTGGTGTCTGCGTGTTCACGTGTGGGTGTGTGGCATGTGGCTGCGTTTGCACTTGGGGTGTGGTATGTGTGTGTGTAGCCTGTCTCCTATGAAAGATTCATTTTTTAAAATGAAATTCAGTTATTAATAAGTGTGTAAAAGTGGGGCATCTGGGTGGCTCAGTGGGTTAGGGCCTCTGCCCTCTGCTCAGGTCATGATCTCAGGGTCCTGGGATCAAGCCCCGAGTTGGGCTCTCTGCTCAGCGGGGAGCCTGCTTCCTCCTCTCTCTCTCTGCCTGCCTCTCTGCCTACTTGTGATCTCTCTCTGTCAAATAAATAAATAAAATCTTTAAAAAAAAATAACTGTGTTAAAGTAAGCCTAGGCATGTGGGTGAATACATTAAACCATTAATGAAAATGAAATACTTTATACTAAGAGATTTCTTTGGGTCTTGCTGATTCAAAAGGAGTTACCAGAGTAATTTGGATATTGTCCAGTTTGGGTGTTTTTTTTTTTTCCTTTTTTTTAAAAACATTTTTTTCTTCTAAACTTATTTTTTCAGGCTCTATCTCTGTGCAGATTTTGCTCATAGGAAAATAATAGAAATAATATACTTGTTTGAAAAAAGATCTCAATGTGTTTAATTTTCTCTTCAACTCTTTTCCAATTTAGAATATTTCTGCATAAGAAACAAGCTGGAACAACTAAAGTAAGTTCGAAAGAGTTTGTATCAGTACATTTTGGTATTTCTACTCTGCCAAAAATAAAGAAAAATTTCTCTCTGTCCTTCTCCTCTTTTTCTCCTAAGCTCTGAAAATCTGGTTTAATGAGCCATTAAATCTGGTTTAATGGTTGTTATGCACAACTTCTAGTGATATATCTTTCTATATTTCTCTGAATTCCCCTGTTACAGAAGGATCACCTCAGTCTTAACCTCTTGGAGCAGGAGATCACAAATTTTGTTTGATGGAACATTTGAATGAGTTGTTTGGTTTGTTCTTTAATTTCACTCAGTGCTTTGTTTATTGAATGTTTATTGAGGGTCTGCTATATTTCAAAGAGATGAGCAAACAGACAGAAAACCATAAGCAAATAAACAGAGTCCTTTTTATGCTTCTAGACAAATACCATGGGAGAAGATGAAGAAAGGTAATGGGCTATTTGAGGGAGTCCCAAAGAACAGAAGGCAGCTCTGTAAAGATGTGGAAGATGACACCTCCAGGCTGAGAAGTGCAAAGGCACTGTGGTGAGGCAAGTGCCTCCCACTCTATAGTTCCTGTCTTCCCCTGCTGTTCCATTCCCAGGCTGTTGGTTATCTAGACCCACAGGCAATGGAATTTACAATTTTTATAAATCCATCCTGTTGCACAGTTAAAACTTAAATCCCCTTTGCTTGCATATGGAAGTCTGTGGTCCTCTGCTAGAATAGTTGTAATAGTAGGAAGCCGCTACTAACTTCCAAATCCAAGTAGCTTGCTTCATTTGGTACATACAGCTTGGGCCTTAAGCAAGGTCTTCAATTCAAAACCCATCCCTCTTAGATTGCCACACATTATTTTTAGTTCTCTTTCATTGACTGACTGCCCCCAGTCTTTCCTAGATCTGAGTTAATTACATGAACCAATCCGCTGAACGCACCTTGAACAATGCTCGGCAAATTCTATGCTTTCTATGATGGCAGTTATGCCTGTTGTAACAATACACCCATGAGAGCGGAACTGTTACTGTCAGCAGACAGACTGGAAAACAGGTTTAGAAGTGTTAAGTGACATCCAAAGGCACACCACATGGCAGGTAAAAAAAACTCAGTCTTTGATCTTTTAGAGTCCCACACCCATACTTAGAGAAGCTTTTGACTATGTGCGTCCAAGAATGGAGGATAGCAATTACTCCTAATACTCAGAAAAGCATGGCACACAGCATCCTTTTAGCTGATCTCTGTCCTTTCACCGCTAACTTGTTTCTAATGGCTGATTTTTTATCACCTAATGATAAAAGAAAATACTTACTTTAGTAAAATATAAAATATATTTTATAAAAATGCAAAATATAAAAAAATATAAATATAAAAAAAGAGCAAAAAACCCTGAGCATTTCTTTGTGACTTTTCTCTCTCTCTCTTTTTTTTTTTTTTTTTGCACTTATATCACACTGACTCATTTTAAGCTCCTGACACCTAACCTGTTCTCAAACATGTATGAGTGGTCGCTTAAAGATTAGAGCTGAGTAAAGCCTCAGTATGTTCCATGAACATTTCTGGTCAGGCAAACAGGCACTCTTTACCAATTATAAAACAGCAGCTGTATCCAAATGGCACACATGACCTTTCTGTACACTTACTGTATGAGTGTATGTGTCAGGAACGTTGCCTAACCCATGGCTTTCAAATTCGAATCACGGAAACAGGAAGATTGTGGACACCATGAGCCAGTACACACTTATGTGAAGCAATAGTATTTTACTGTATTTAACATGTTCTGATACATTTTGTGTTCTGGGTTTATCCTAAATGCAGGTTGTAGACTGCTAAATAAATTGAATTACCTTCTCCAGAAGGGTACGGTCCACAGTTAGAAAAACAGCAGCCAAACCATTTCTTAGCTACTCTTGAGAATATGCAGCTTGACTTAGGACTTCAGTTTGATGTCTGACACCAGTCTTCTTAGATTTTCCACTTTTGTATTCTATTGCACGAGTTTTCTCAAGGAGAATACTTGGATTTTCTACCTCCTTATTAAACAGACTCTCCTACAACATAATATGGATCTCCTATTCACTTCATAGGGCTCTGGGAGTTGCAAATACCCAGCCTTGCCTGCATCTACATGAATGTGCTTGTCATCCTTTAGAAGTGGTCTGCTTTTCCTAAAAGGCTTATGTTATTCTTTCTGTAGCATGGTTTCCATGAACGACCCTCGGACTGGAGCTTTGCAAAGTGCAGCCGAAGTGGGCATCCGAGCAGAAGACAATATCTACGTTATTGAGGACAATGTTTATGTCATGGATTAAGACCCAGTGGCCCTCTAAGGATTTATGTCCTTAACTGTGGGAGACAATGACAAGATACCACCATGTCTGAGTTCTTGTAAGCCCTAGAATGATTTTTCTGTTAATTTCCAATGATAGTCCAACATGTCAGTTATGTTGGGTAGAGTGACTGGTTCATCTGTGTATAGTCACCCTCATTGGCCATAGAGTCCTAATTTTTTATGCTAAAACTTAATTCACTGTTTCTCCCAAATGTGAACACTTTATAATTACATATTCTCTTTGGATCATATGAACCTTATATCCATCAAGAATTCTCACCAGTGAGAGAAGAGCTACCACTTTGGTCACCAAAGCTGTCAAGAAAAGCAGACTAGCAGTTAAAATCAGCAGAGCTGATGTGGGACTTAAAGGACTTCACTTGGAAACAGTTTCGTGATAATCTCTTGTTTTTTACCTTGTAACTCCAAATGTTAACATTTCTTAGGTTCCCAGAGGCTTTCAAATCACAGGGGTACACAGGTCTTTATTTCTCCCATGGGGAAATAGAAGTGAATGTGATTTCACCACTACAGGTCAATCTGATTTTGCATGGCTCTGGAAATACACAGTATTAAGATTTTCCCTGGACCCGGGGTGGGTGTTTTAGCAATTAGAAGAAACTAGGGTAGGGAGTGGACCAAGTAGATACCAGGGAAAAAAATCAGTTGCCCTGTGATTTATTGCATGCTATTTCTGCTACATCAGTTCCACAGTTCCAAGCATTTGTATATACGATTGTCATGCTCTCTGAACTAATTTTTAGAATGAGGCAGGGCAGAAATAAATAGAAGAAAAAAAGGGAGAAGGCTAAAAGAAATAGAAGAAAAAGAGGGAGAAGGTTAAAAGGCTTCCTGCTTTAGAAAAGTTATTTTGCAAAGGTAACAGTGTTGTCTGAGAATGTTACTAGTTTCAATCAAAATTCTAAATTGTCCTCAGGTAACTGCAATTTTAAAATTGTTCTGGAAAGATGAGGGGTGTTTTTTTAAATAGCAAAAACAATTCCAGTGCTATTCCTTTTTTTCATGGTTCAGTTAAATTTTTGGTTTTTCCAAGAGTTAAGCAAAGGCTAATGGCAAGGATATCTTTAGTCACTAGGAGCTTTGCTACATGAACAGTTAAGGAGGCTGGGTATTAATTTCAATCTGAGTAGACCTTGAAAGAAGTCCTGCTTAGGGTTCAGAGTTACTCCATAGTGGTCTAGGAGGGCAGCATGTGTGTTTATTTCTGAACAACATCTTTGACATTGGTCTGTGGGGTTCTAGGACATGGATAGGACCTCCAAATAAAGGTTTATATGGGCAAATTGGATTGTTAAACATGCTATACTGGGTTTTCCAAGTGATCTGTCCCAAGAAATTTATTGTTTAAACTGTAGTGTTTTTCTTTTAAATTCAAAATAACAGGCATAAACATGGAGATTTCAGATTAAAGCCTGGATTTGTAGCTTCTCTGGAAAGACCTGGCAACATTGGATGGCATTCCTACATAGTCAGGGCCCCATTAAATGGTGCTATACGCCCCCCCCCCCCCATACCTAGTCCTCGCCTTTCCTGAACACACACATTTGTTCCTTGCTCTGTGACTGGCACTTTGAATTTCTGACAGCTTTCTTCTCCATACCCTTCTTGGAGATTTATGATGGCACATTAAAAGTTCTGAGAGTCTGGTTAATGTTACCTAGCATTTCCAAAACTTACTTGAAACCCGTGAACACAGTGACTACCAGCCTAACGAGTAACATTCCGTGAAGCAGTATGTAAGAACATGTGGGGAAGGAGGTGGTACACAGAATTAGGACTAGGACCTGAGTTCTAGTCTTAACTCTTAAAAGAAACACTGGATGACATTAGGGTGAATCTTGCTGCCGGCATTTTCTAATCTTATCATGCATAATTATTCCCATAATTGTATTGGTGTGTAGCAGTAATTCCAACGACATGTTACTTCAAGCCTTTGGAAAGTGGAAAACACTACAGAAATGCAAAGAGCTTTTTGGGTTTTATTTTTGCCTTTTTTTTTTTTTTGGTCGAGTTTGCAATAATGATTTAGCCTTAGTGCTCAGTAAATAATTCCAGTGGTGTTGCATTCATATGTTTTTTGCTATATGGTACTTTTTTGGGGGGAGCAGGAGTAATATATCTTTTTTGGAAAAGTTGATATTTGGTAATTTGGCTAATTTTATACTGTAGAAAAATGTGTATTGTAGAGGATGAACAGGTGAGAAGGGAGGAAGGGGAGGTATTTAGTTAATACTTAATTCCCTCCTGTGTGTATATCCATCTTGTAGAATGTATTGAGTTTTGTTTTCAATCCTTCAAGACAATTGAGCTTCCATTTTCCACAGTCTATCTTGGGACTTTAGGACACTGGTGTAAGTAAGATATTTAAACTTGAGAAATTCTGCTCGTCTTAAGGAGTAGCAGAACCAATCTTTTCACTAATTGCTAATCACTAAGATAATTTTATGAGTACATGATAGTATGAGGGACTCTTTGTGACTAGTTTGTTTGTGGGTACACATTAATAAAAGATATTTTTGTTTTCATTTTGAAAATTGACTTGTTGCTTTCTCAGTTTCATCTGTTAGTTGGAGTCTGGCATCTTCAACTTGCTATGGACTCCCAGGGCCTGTGGGGCAAGATTTAACTCCAGTTCCTGAGGAGCTCCAATTCAGTAGGGAAGAAACCCCCAAACCATCAATTGTGGTACTAACTAATATGGAGGGGAAAAAGAATGTAGTGGTAACTGGGCTTCTTAACTGTGGCATTTGGGGCCAGATAACTTTATTATGGAGGCTGTGCTGTGCATTGTAGGATACTTGGCAGTACCCCTGTCCTCTAACCACTGGAGGAGACAGTTGGGCCCCTCCAGTAGCGACAACTATAAATGTCTCCTGAGAGGTAATACCACCTCTGGTTGAAAGCCGCTGTGAGAGAGATACCTGGAGGATGTGGGTGTTGTGGGGACTGGTGTCACTTTATCTGGGTTGGTAGGGGGATCTGCCTCTGAGTATGAAGTGACATTTAAGTTGAAGCCAAATGAATGTGTAGGCAGCAGCCTCTTCAGGGAGCCCACCCATGCAAAGGCCCTGTGTCAGAGGAAGAATCTCGTGTATTACGAGAAAGTGTGTTCTGAGGACTGAAAACCGGTATGGTTGCGGCAGTACCCACCCCCCCCCCCCCCCACCCTGGCAGGAAATGGCGCTGAAGAAGTGGGAACAGGAACTGGCAAGATGCTGGGGGGAAGGGACTCCGTGAACACATCTGTCAGAAGAGTCCCACTCTTGGCAAACAAAGCGCTTGTGCGTATTTGGGATTAAACCTGCCCTCCATCACCAAATTATAATACTCCTCACTGTGTTTCAGTGACACCGTTCTCAGATCAAACCTTATGAGTTAGTTTGGTTGGGATAACAAGAAGGGGAAGGAGAGGGGAAGGGCGGTGCATCCTGGTGGTGAGGGGCTTCCCAAGGGCTGTGTGAGGGCCCCAGGGGCCTAGCAAGAGGCATCCTGGAAGATCCTGGAAGAACAGGGATAGGGTGCCAGTTTGCCTCCTATCACCCTGGACCCGGCAAGAGCTGGACCCACTCCTCCCGAACTTGCCGCTTTCGGGGAGTAGGGTGGTGCAAGGGTGCCTTTAGCTGGCCCCCAATAGATTCTCTAAGATAGGTTTTGATGTGCACTTTTGGAAAACAATACATTAAAAAGACCATGATGGAATAGATATTGTTCAGGATGACTGCAATTTTACAGTCAATTAATCTAAACCAACTTGAGTGACATAGCCTAAGGGCAACATGAGGATAGCAAAGGTCATGTAGATGCATGGAGTCAGGCAGGCAGAAGGTTAGATAAGCTGGGAGGTTATTAAAATACAGACTCCTGGACCCTACTCCCAGAGACTGAGATTCATAAGACAGGTGGGACCCAAGTATGAATGTATGTATGAATGTATACTTATTTATTTGTTTTGAAAATATTTATTTGAGAGAGGGTGGGGAAGGCAGAGAGAGAGGGAGATAGAGAACTTCATGTAGACTCCCCACTGAGCACAGAGCCTGATGTGGGGCTCAATTGCAGGACCCCAAGATCATGACCTGAGCTCTAGTCGAGCCATTCAGGTGCACGTAAGTATTTACTTTTTTGTTTGTTTAAATTACAGAAGACAAGCTACTGCAAATTATTTTATATTTCAACCAAAATACTCAGATTTCATGAAAGAATATGTAGGAATAAGAGCATGTAATTGCCCCTCATTTCTACTTATTTCAGAAGTGACTCTCAGGAAATGAATGCAGCAACTTTATATCTGGAGTGGATGGGTATTTTGATGCCAGGTTTTTAAAAATTTTATATTTTTTTATTAACATATAATATATTATTAGCCCCAGGGGTACAGGTTTACACACTTCATAGCACATACCTTCCCCAATGTCCATAACCCCACCACCCTCTCCCAATCCCCCTCCCCCAGGCAACCCTCAGTTTGTTTTGAGACATTACAAGTCTCTTATAGTTTATCTCCCTCCTGATCCCATCTTGTTTCATTTATTCTTTTCTTACCCCCCAACCCCCACATGTTGCCTCTCAACTTCCTCATATCAGGGAGTTGATGCCAGTTTTGGGGCTAAACAAATTCCTCAGTGTCCTCCACATATAGGAAAACGGTAAGAAATGTAGGGGAGGCATACCGGGACACTGCATTTCATGGTCTCATGAAGAAATGTTTCTTCCAGGTTCATAGTGCTCTCTAGAAGGAAAGAAACAACAATTTGCCATTGCTCTTCCTCTGATCAAGGTCTTTTGTCAGTTGACTGTGGGCTGCTTTAGACACACATATCCTCCCAAGACTTGGTTTCTTCAGCTCTTGATGACATCAGGTTATCTGAGGAAGTACAACAGAAGGGCGCTCCTCCACCCACTGCAAAGGCAATGACAGATGACGACAAGTAGCTTTGATGTGGCATGGGAGCTCGGTGTACCTAGGGCTGTGGGAGAGTCTCATCGTTAGCACTACCAGAGAGCTAACTGTATACAGTTCCCATGGGCCTCTCAAGGGCCCTTCCAGCTCTGACTTGAGAGTCTTCGGCTGCCATTAGTGTCTTTCCCCACTCCCTCCAGTCCTCCCCCAACAGGGCCCTCAGCATAATCTGAAACACCGAGATCGGATTGTGTAGCATGTTAGCTGAAAGGCTCCCACTGTTCCCCAGTGGGTAAAAATTGCACTTTGTCATAAGCCTCCACAGCTTCCTTGTCTGCCTCGTGCAGCCCCTTTCTGCCGTGCTCTGGTGGGATGTGTAAGGACCTATTTAGCCAGAGCAACTCCATCTTGGTTAAAAGCCATTTTATTGTTTGTGCAGTAAAACTTAAACTGACCCTGCCCACCCGCCCTCCGAGAAACTTACTTAGAAGCAAGTCTGGGAAACCAGTAAAATATGGTCAGCCAGTTCCGAATAACAGAGCCCAGAATACAAGGACGAGTCGGGCCAGGTGGAGACATCCAATCAATAAGAAACTCACATACTTTTTCCCTAACCACCAAAGAATGTAAACCCCACCGTTTGGGCGCCAACCTTGAGCACCAATTCTGACCAGAGTAATAGGTTAGCTCAAACAGCTACTATAGGGTAAATTGTAATTCAATTGGCCACCTGCGTGTGACCTAACATGACTACAATCTCATTGGCCACCTATGTGTGACCAGACTTTTGCTCTATAAAAGGTAGTCTGTAAGATGCGGAGGGGTCGCTCTCTTCGGAGGCGGTCAGTCTGACTTTTAATGCTTAGCATAGAGTAGAGCTTTGCATAACTTTCCCCTTGTCTCAGTCTCATTCCCCTGGCCAATCAGTCAAACTTCCATAAAATAAAGCTTTAAATAACTTTCACTTTGTCTCAGTCTCATTTCGTTTAATAACGGACCTAACAGGATGTAAATGCCTCAGATACCCACTCTCTACTCTGTAGGTCAATTCACCTCCCAGGGATGCTGGTCTCCTTCCTCTCCACTGGCTATGTCATTCCTCAAGGCTCAGCTCAAGGGTAACCTCTTCAGCCTGCCTGGACCTCATTCTCCTGGATGGTATTAAAGCCGTTTTATGAATACTTCTGTTCAGCCCTTCCTGCTCACTCGGGGAATATAGCAGAGTGCTTCCCCTGTGCCAACCGCGGTGCTGAGGCCTAGCTCAGTCCCTTATTCTGCATGAGGCCAGCACCTTCCCTAGCATGTGTGGCATCTTTGAGTGAGTTAGAAACAGGCTCCCTCCTCCTGCTGGCTGACACAGCTCTGAGTCAGGGCAGAGACCTGTCAAATGGCGTCTGTACAAACTACAACCCTAAATAGGGACCCTCTAACTCGGTCCTTTGTATTGGTTGATAATGTTTTTTATACTGAGCTCTTTGAGGGAAGTATCTGGTTTCTCAGCGCTTAGCATTCACACATAGGTGCTTAATACTTATCTATGAACAGGAGTGAATAAACTGTCTGAAAGAACATCTCCTAGAACCTTCCCGTGTGTGCTGGGATGGGGAAGGGAAGAGTGTCTTTAACTCCTTTATGAGACAGAAACAACTCTTTTCATTATGACTGGTTGGAGGGAAGGAGTCTGTGCGAATCTCAAGGACTCCCTGAGACCAGGAAATTGCAACATTGGCTATAAATTATAATCACCTGGGAAGCTTGGCCAACCCACCTGTGCCCAGACCAACTGAATCAGAATTTCAGGAGGAGGGGCCCAGATGTTATAGTTCGTCAGTCTCCCCAGGTGATTTCAATGTACAGCTGAGGCTGTGAACCACCGACCTAGAGAGAGGGGGAGGGGAAGCGACAGCATGTTTGCTTGCTCTGTGTGACCAGCGCTCTGGAAAACACAACAGAGTACAAACTGAAACAAGAAAACATCAAAAAAACATCAACAACAGGCTGGGGCAGATGAGTAGCAAGTCAGAAAGGGCATGTGCCGCTGGGTTAACAGCAGACCGGCCCTACCTGGCTTCCATGGCAACAGCATTATATTGGCAGCCCTGGGAACGAGAAGTCTGGACGCTACCATGCGTTTGGAAAGCTTCTCAGGAAGTTGGCCCGTGGCTGTCTAGCTGCCAGCCCCTGGGACTCCTAAGAACTAAATGTTTTCTTCCACAAGTTGTAAAACTAAGCAAAGAAGAAAATCCCCTTTGGCCTGTGAGGAAATGCTCTAAGGTAACCTTCTTTGTTTTGTACTGTGGATTGCTGAGATGGGGTTTTTTCTATCTGGAAATTCCTGGACCTTGGATGATGGCCGATTCACACATTTCTCAGCCGACTCTTAAAAAAAGTTTTTAAGAGCCGTTTTAGGCTCACAGCAAAAGTGAGTGGAAAGTACAGAGTACCCTCCTCTCTCCTAAACACACATTCTCCTCCACCATCAACACCTCTCTCCTGTGTGGGGCATTTGGTACAACTGGTGAACCAACCCAGACCCACCTTTATCGAGCGAAGTCCGCAGTTTACATGGGGGTTCATGCTTTGCATCGTGCATTCTGTGGGTTTGGGAAAAAGTGTAAGGACGTGTATAACCATCATAGTATCATAGAGAATAATCGTGCTACCCAAAAAAGCCCTTATGTTCCACCTCTTTACCTCTCACTCCCCCAACACCTGGAACAACCATTAACGTTTTTCCCCCTCACCTTTTCCAGTTATGTTATGTGGTTGGAATTGGATAGTCTGTGGTCTTTTCGGATTCATTTTTCACTAAGCAGTATGCACTTAAGGTCCCTCTATTTCTTTTTGTGGCTTCATAGCTAATTTCCTTTTATCGTCTTTTTGTTGTTCATTGTTTTGCTGTATCACAGCGTGTTTCTTCACGGACCTTTTGAAGGACATCTTGGTTGCTTCCAAGTGTGGGCAGCTATGAATAAAGCTGCTATGAACATTCACCTGCAGGTTAAGGAACATATTTGATGGATTGCATGGTAAGAGTAGGTTTAGTTTTGTAGGAAACTATTAAACTATATTACAGAGCAGCCATTTTGCAGTCCCATCAGCAGTGAATGGGAGTTCCTCAGCCTTGCCAGTGGCTGGTGCTGAACCTTGGCCCTTCTAGCAGATACGCAGTAACACCCTTGTTTTCGTTAGCATTCTCTAATAACATATGATGTTGAACATGTTTTTATATGCTTATTTGCCATCTATGTATCTTCTTCGGCCAGGTGTCTATTCAGATATTTTAACCATCTTTTAATCAGGTTGTTGATTTTCTTACTGTTGAGTTTTAAGAGTTATTTCCATATTTTGCATTTTGCATTTGGTCATATCAGATATGTCTTTGGCAAAAATTTTCTCCCAATATGTGGCTTGTTTTCCCCTTCTCTTGACAGTGTCTTTTGCAGAGCAGACGTTTTAAATTTTAATGTAGTCCAGCTTATCATTGTTTTCCTTACATGGATCATATCTTTGGTCTTGTATCTAAAAATTCATTGCCATACCTAAGGTCATCCAGATTTTTTCCTGTATTATCTTCTAGGAATTTTATAGTTTGGCGCTGTATATTTCAGACAATGATCCATTTCGAGCTAATTTTTTTGAGGGTGTGAGGTCTGCATCTAGATTTGTTTTTTTTGCCCACAGATACCCGGTTGTTTTAGCACCTTTTGTTGAAAAAACAATCCTTTCTGCATTGAATTGCCTTTGATCCTTTGTCAAAGAGCAATGACTATGTCTGTGTGGTTCTCTTTCTTGGCTCACTGTTTTGTCCATGTATTTATTTTTCTACTGTGATTCTCTTTCTTGGCTCTCTGTTTTGTCCATGTATTTATTTTTATATCCTCTGGTTAATAGAACACTGTCTTGATTGCTGTAGCTTAATAATAAAGATTGAAATTGGTTATGTCAATCCTCAGACTTTGTTCTTCAGTATTATGTCGACTGTTCTGGGTCTTGTGACTCTCTCTCTATACTTTAGAATCATTTTGTCAATATCCACAAAATAATTTTCTGGGATTTTGATGGGATTTCATTGAGTCTCTAGATCAAGTTGGGAGGAACTGAACTCTTAACAATACTGAGTCCTCTGATTCATAAACATGGAATATCTGTCCATTTATTTAATTCTTTGATTTCTTTCATCAATTTTGTAGCTTTCTTCATATATATCTTACACAAATTTTGTTAGATTATATCTAAGTATTTCATTTTTTTGGTACTAATATAGACGGTTTTATGTTTGTAATTTCAAGTTCCAATTTTTCATTGCTGATATATAGGAAAGCAATAGACTTTGGATATCAACCTTGTATCCTGTAACTTTGCCATAATGGCTTATTCCAGGAATTTTGACCGGGGGAGGGTCAATTCTTTGGGATTTCCTATGTAGACAATAATGTCACATGTGAACAAAAGAGTTTTATTTCTTCCTTCCTCATCTATATACCTTTTATTTCTTTTTCTTGTCTTTTCATTGGTTAAGACTGCCAGTATGATGTTGAAAAGGAGAGGGAATACCTTTCTTTTTTCCTGATCTTAGTGGAAAAGCATCTAGTTTGGGCTTTGAACAAGGACCACGACTATGAGAACTTTATAAGAGGTCTTAATATATGTACATTCCATTCTTATCTACGTCTCCAATCTTTTGCTTTCTATTAGAGCCTTCCCATCTGCCTGGGAGCATAACAAACAAAAACCCCTAACAACTTTCCCTTGACCCTTTAAAAACCTCTGGCTACTCTCCTTTCTCCTTCCTTTACTTTTGAGCCAAACTTTTCTGTTCCAAATATCCATTTCCCTACCTCCCATTTACTCCTTAAACTAATGCAATCTGACTTCTGGCTCCACTCCTCCAATGAAGCCATTAAGCAAAAGTTCAATGTAAGTGCAATAGCTATTTCTTAATATTTATCACACTTGAACTTTTTGTAGCATTTGACCCCACTAACTGAGCCATACTTCTTAAAACTTTCTCTGCCTTTTGCTCTCAGGGAGCGATACCATTTATCTTGATTTTCTTCCTGTTGTTCTGCATTTGTTCTTAGTATTGTGGCTGGATCCTCTTTCTCTATGTACTTAAGTGTTAATGTGCCCCCAGACTCAATCTACCACGTGCTTCTTTTTTGACATCTATTTCCCAGTTACTGGTGAGCCCCAAATCTCTATTACAGTCAGATCTCTTTAGCTTCAGACCCAGTTGTGATAATTATATTACCAAGGTTTTTTGAAGTGTAGTGTTGAGCAGATTACACATAACTGAGTAATAGAAAGTCCCTTTCCACAAGTGAACAAATTGAGTTCAGAGACTGACACTTAGAAATTCTAGAAACAGGATCTGATTCCATCAGTTTTGATTCTAGAGTTGTGCTGTCCAATAAGTTAGCCGCTAGCCATATTTTAAATTAATTAAAATTAAAAATTCAGTTTCTTGAGGGGCCTGGCTGTCTCAGTCAGAAAAGTATGTGACTCTTGATCTTGGGTGTGTGAGTTCATGCCCCATGTTGGACATAGAGCCTGCTTAAAAAAAAAAAAAAATCAGTTTTTTAGTCACACTAGCTGCCTTTCAGTTGCTCAATTGCCACATGTGGCTAGTGGCTTCCCTGCTGGAAAGCACAGTATGAAACAATTCCATCATCACTGAATGTTCCGTTGAATACTGCTGCTCTAGAGACTTCCTCTAATCACATCTGGAAAAAGTACTCTCCTTGGTCTTCTTGCTCATTCTGCAATGAAGAGGTAACCCTTATTCACAGTTACTTGTGTATCCTTCCACAACTTTCTATAAACAAATGCAAATATAAATACCCATATAATACACATTTTGTTCTGTGTTGTGTGTTTTTTAAAACAGGATCAAATTATACACAATGTTCTCTAACTTGCTTTGGTTACTTAAAAATAGGGGGCACCTGGGTGGTTCAGTGGGTTAAAGCCTCTGTCTTCAGCTCAGGTCATGATCCCAGGGTCCTGGGATCGAGCCCCACGTGGGGCTTTCTGCTTAGCAGGGAGCCTGCTTCCCCCCCTCTCTCTGCCTGCCTCTCTGCCTACTTGTGATCTCTGTCTGTCAAATAAATAAATAAAATCTTTAAAAAAAATAGACCTACTTGGACCTACTTCCACATCAGATATTTTAAAACTGCCAAGCTGTTTTCTAGAGCAGATGTGTCATGTACCTTCTCACCAGCTGAGTTATCCAGTGTCTCTGGATACTTGTTAGCCTTTGGTGTTGTTGCTATGTTAAATTATATCCAGTCTGATAGGTTATGGTGGTACCTCATTATGGTTTTAATTCGTATTTCACTATTGACTAATGATGTTGAACATCTTATCATGTGCTTATTTGCCATCTGTATAACCTCTTCAGTGAAATTTCCATTCACGTCTTGTTTATCTTGTGATTAGAATTTTTGGTTTTGTTTACTGTTGAGTTTTGAGGAATTTTCATATATTCTAGATACTAGTCTTGGATATGTGGTTTGCAAATATATTCTCCTAGTCTGTAACTTATCTTATTTCTTCTTAACAGGATCTTTCACAGAGAAAATGTTGACAGTTTTGATATAGTCCAATTTATCAATTCTTCCTTATGTGAAGCACGCTTTTAGTGTCTAGGCTGAAAACACTTTGCTGAGCTCTAGATCCAGGAGACTTTTCTCCTATAATTTTTCCTAAATACTTAATAGTTTTATGTTTTACATTTAAATTCATGATCCATTTTAATGATTAATTTTTGTATAAGGTTTGAAGCTAGGTCGAGGTGGGTTTTTTTGTTTTTTTTTGTTTTTGTTTGTTTGTTTTTTTTTGCCTATGGATGTTCAGCTGTTCCAGAACTATTTGTTGAAAAGGGTGTCTTTTCTCTGTTGAATTGCATTTGTACATTTGTCAAAAAATTTATTGGTCGGGTGTCTGAGTGGCTCAGTTGGTTAAGCATCTGCCTTCAGCTCAGGTCATGATCCTGGAATCCCAGATGGAGTCCCACATTGGGCTCCCTGCTTGACAGGGAGTCTGCTTCTCCCACTGACCTCTCTCCTCTCATGCTTTTTCTCTCTCATTCTCTCTCTCCCTCTCTCTCAAATAATAGATAAATAAAATCTTTAAAAAAATTAGTGGTCATATTTGTGTGGGTTTATTTCCGGGTTCTCTTATTTGTATTGAGGTATAATTGACATTATATTAATAATGACATTAATTTCAGGTACACAATGTCATGGTTTGATATATGCATGTATTGCAAAAGATCACTACAATAAATCTAGTTAACATTGTCATCATACATAGCTACAAAATTATCAAGTTTCTTTCAGCAGCTTTTTGGTATCCTTTTTCATTTGTGGTATTGGTAGTTTGTCTTCTCTGTTTTTCTTTCCTTTTACATTTTTTTTTTTTTTGGTTATTCTGGTGAGAGTTTTGCCAATTTTACTGTTCTTTCAAAGAATAAGCTCTTTGTTTCGTTGGTTTCTATTATTGTTTTTCTGTTCTAAATTTCATGGATTTTTGCTCCTTTTTTATTTCTTTCTTTCTTTTGGCTTAGGTTTCTTTTCCTCATCTTTTTGCAGGTTCCTGGGGTAGGAGGTCAGATTACTGACTGAGATTTTTCTCCTTTCCTAATGTATGTCTTAGTGCTATAAATTTTCCTCTCCATATTGCTTTGGCTGTGTCCCACAAGTTGCAGCATGATTTTTATTCAGCTCAGCATATTTTTCACTCCTTCAAGAGATCCTCTTTGATTCATGGACTCTTTTTTTAAAAGATTTATTTATTTATTTATTTGACAGAGATCACAAGTAGGCAGAGAGGCAGGCAGAGAGAGGAAGGGAAGCAGGCTCCCTGCTGAGCAGATAGCCCAATATGGGGCTTGATCCCAGGACCCTGGGATGAGGACCTGAGCCCAAGGCAGAGGCCTTAACCCACTGAGCCACCCAGGCGCCCCTGATTCATGGACTATTTAGAAGTGTGTTGTTTAGTTCCCAAGTGTTTGGAGATTTTCCAG